GATCTAGGATGTGTTATTTGAGTGTTCCCTTTATTTTGTGAGCAGTGTATATAACTGATAGCTGACTGCATAGCTGGAACTCAACAGGTACTACTCAAGTAACTCTTGTCAGAGGGGTTACATGCAAAGAATGTGGGAGGAATTGTTACTTCGACATCCCCAGTCAACCCTAACCGCCAAACAACTAGTAACTCAGTGTTCCAACATCCACAAATGTTGGAACAACTTTTGTGGCAACTGCTATCACAACTTGAGATTGACGAGGTATAACACACGGCAAGGGGGAGCCAGGTCAGAGGTAGAGCCAGCCCTAGTAAAAAAAAAAAGTATACTTTAGTATACTAAATTTTAACATACTTTAGCGTACTTTGATTGATGTACTTAAACTGTACTATTTTGGAACAACCTTTTTTGTGCTTAGTATATTTTAATAGTATTTAAATGGTATTAAATTACAATTTTTATTATACTTAGTATACGTTAATGTACTTTTTTGGAACAACTGCAAGTTGTACTTAGTATACTTTAAATATACTTTTTTATGTACTATTTATATATTTTGAGTGTACTAATTCTGTCATAGAATTATATTAAAAATATACTTTTAATATACTTTAAATATACTGCTAATATATTAGTAATGAATTTAAATTACACTTAATTTTTAGTTTTGATTTACTGCTATTGCTAATAAAATACAATTTTAATTACTCATAAGTCTTCTTTATTCCTACTTTCCTATTTTGTACATTACATGCATAACTTACATTGTTTTAGGCTACAATTACATGGAAAATTAATTACACAAAATGTTCAAGGTAATTCAAATATTTTGTTTTATTACCGACATTTTAAAATTGTCCAATTTTACTCACAACTTTATGAACTTTACATAAATTATTAGTTTACATGTCAAAAGTGAACACAATGAACACGTAAATTTAAGTGTGACAAAAAACATGAAAGTTATTACTTTAAAGAACAAAAATTATAATTACATTGTGCTTTCAATATATTACCATTTTGGTAACACTTTATTTGATGGGGTGTGCATAAGACTGAGATGACACTGTCATAAACATAACATAAAACCTTTCATCCAACTTTTAAAGCAAATTCTCATTAATAATGTCATTATTTACTGAATGACACTTCATGACACTGTTGGTATGTTCCTAACATGAGTGAAGATCAACGACAAAACGTTCCCATTCACTGGACCACTGCACCTTACAGAAACCAACAAAAAAGAGCAATAGAGCAATTAAACAGAGAAAGCATTTGTATTTTAAACAGTACAGAAAAGTGGCAAATAAAAAAATACTTACAATTTCAAGACGTTGTGGACTCACCATGTGTGTGACATCAGAACTGATGATGATTGAGACCAGATGCCTGGGGTGAAAAAACATTTCTGGGTGTCTTCTTTGCCTGTTTATGTTAGAAGTAGAAAAAAATAGTCAGCAATATCATAGAATCAGTTGATGTTGGCATTAACTATGAAGTTGTTTTACGTGTGGACTTAAGGAGACAAACTACCTTAAAATCTTTCCATCCATGATCTGAACACACTGATCCCTGCAGGTGGTGAGGGGGGCTGGTGGTGCCCATCTCCAGCAGCCATCAGATGAGAGGCAGGGTTCACCCTGGACAGGTCACCAGTCCATCACAGGGCCCTGAAAGCCAACAATGAATAAAATGTATGAAAGAGAAATATTAGATTAACAAGGGGAAAAATTCTGTCCAGTTATCTTTAGACCAAATCATGTTTATTAAGCACTTGGTGTTGGTAACATACCAGTTTTTGTTGTTGAAAATGTAACTAGCTCCTCATTTAAAAAAAAAAAAAGAAAAAATTACACCATGAAGACGATGTGAAGGTTCATCCTCAGAGCTGGTTGGTGATCTGGTGGAGTCACAGCTTCTTCTGAGACAGAAAAGTCTTTAGGTTTTCTAACACCTGATCTCTCTGGCTTCCTCTTTCATCTTCATTTGCTTAGACTGCAAACATATGTTGAAGATAAAAAGATGGATAATGAAGTTATAACAACAACCTCACAATATCAAAGTCTCTCTGTCTTATGGAGCTTAATTAAAACCAGGTTAAGTTTACGAATAAAAGTATAAGACGCAACAAACAGCCTCCGTGCATTTATAACATGAAGCTGAATGATTGTTATAGTAATAATCATACAAGTCACAATGAAATTGATAAAATAATTATTTATGAAACCAATGTAAGTTACATATCTTTACTGCACTGTTTATAATTAAGCGAAGATAATTAATAAGCAAAATTACCACTAGCTAGCAACACGTTAGCAGCCTTTGTCCCTCCGGGCTCCTTTTGTGACACACATTTCATTTCCATCGTTTGTTGTCCAGTTGTGTTGTCGTCTAACTTGGACTAGGACGTCACCAGCTTGAATTTACCAAAATTAGTAACTATTGTCAAGGCCCTCTCTACTTTTAAATCAATATTATGTGAGTAAAAATGGCAAATTTGGACAGCGTCTGTTATCTTCCCGGCGTTCAAGTTTTTTCTTCTCTTTATGGCGTTTTTTTAAAAAAATGAAAGTGTGCAATACCGCCCCCATCTGGTCTGGAGTATAAACTGGAGCTAATCCTGTTGATTATAGATCTTACATCATATCTGAAAATGGATTGGGTACTTTCTTAAACAACATTACATCATGATTATAATTTTTTTATTCTTTGCAATTTTAACAAAAATAGTGAAAGATTATTAAGGCACCTAAAAAGATATACTTTTTAGGTGCTTAAAAAGTATGCCTAAAAATTACATGAAAAGTACTTTATAGGTGCCTGAAAGACATACTTCTGCATATGTATTAATTAGTTTTATTTTGTAATCAGGTTGCTGCGTGTTGCAGACTTCTGCCCAGGTCCCTCCTGAAAATGAGATCTGGATCCCAACGGGGTTCACCCGGTTAAATAAATAAAGTTTTAAAAAAAAGGGCATACTTTATTAGCCTAAAATTTACACTGAGATGTCATTTAAAACATACTGAAAATAATAATCTAAAGTAGTGTTAAGTGAATTTTAAAAAATTCTATTTTGAGCATATATTTTAAAATATACACAAAATATATTTTAAATATATTTTAAATATAATTGAGCAAGTGAATATTTACACTTGGGCGAATATATATTTTGTTCATTTAAAGTATACTTTTATTTAATATATTAAAAGTGTATTTTGGTACAATTATGTTTAAGTGTGCGTTATGGTCACTCTTGCATCACAAAAGTCCAAAAAACAAAAATGCCAGAGTAGTCTTTCAGGAGGAGGTTTTCGACTCACTCAGAGAAAAAATAAAAAGCACTCGTGGAGACTTTTCTGATTTCAAAGGGTTTTCTTTTACTTATAAAAATAACAAAAAATAATCTCCGAGTTGACTTCAAATATAAACGTTAATTTGTGGTACAAAAACAACACCGTAACAGAAACCAATGAGCTGATGTACAACTCAGCATCAGTTATTCTGGAGATGCTTGGCTATAAGAGCAACCATGAGAGCCATAAGATCCAATACCCACCATGGAAAAGACGGTTAGAGGCTAAAATCAAGGTAACAAGGAGGGAAGTGAGCCAACTGTCAGAGCTCCAAAGAGATGCGATGAAAAGATCAGTACCCAAGAAGTACAGTCAGATGCCCATACCTGAAGCACTCAAAACTGCCAAACAAAGGCTCCAAGCCTTGGCCAGCCGCCTAAAGCTATTTTTTTCAACTCTTTTTGAGTGAAAGTACATTGTTTCAATTGAAAAAATCACAAGGCACACCACCAACCAAAAATGTAAACAAAGGCCGCCTATATTACATATATAGTCATTCTTATCAAAGTGTCTTGAATA